TGAAGACCGTGTGAGCGGCTCATAGAGGAGGAAGGAGAACCAGATAAGGAACGTCAGCTCCTGGAGCTTCTGAGGCTCAAATCAACTGCCTTACACTCTGAGGACTGCGTCTGCTTTTTTCTCCCCTCTCTCTCTCTCTCTCTCTCTCTTCAAGTGCGTTAAATGTATGCATGCATTCAAAGAAACTCTTTTCTGCCGGATCTCTGTGACCGTGCGCCTTTTATGGATGGAGTTTCAGCAGAGAAGCAGATGGAGATGTAGGCAGCCAGGATGTTCTCAGCAGGTGGATGTTGGTGAAACCTGTCTCCATATCCCCTCTCTCTGGGGCCGCACAATTATGGCCAACATGACAAGCAACATTATTTTGATCAATATTGGAACCAGGCTTATTAATGACCACTATAATAAAAAAAATCATGATTATCATTTTATAAGGTCTTTGGCTAAATAAAATAAAATTGCATGCGTTATTTCAGCGCCTTACTCGATGCAGGATTGCTGTCATGGTTGTCTGGGTTTAGTGGATTTAGTGGACGTCTCACTCGCAAATTGGTGACTGTGAGGCTGCTGGGTGCCGCTCACTGCAGGGTACACTCACTTCCTTATTGGGCAGTTTTTGCTTGCCCCCTAGTGGTTGGCTGAATCTTGGTTGAGAAAGTGCTTGATTTATTATGCAGCAATGCCCACTTTAGGATCGTGACTGCTATAATCATATCAAGCCTATGTTCAAAAGTTTAATTTTTATTTGGGATGTCCAATATTTACTTTTTCCCCGATACGCGATATCCCAGTATTTTTCAAACACTTTCTGATATCGATATAAGCCTGAGATATTTATTTGTTTATCACTGGAAAACCACTGTATTGTGTCGCTGGGACCAGCATTCTCCGCTGATTATTAAAATAGATGAATAAAATGAGTTGCAATGCTGCCATCTAGTGACTTTCACTTTCAAATGTCTTTCATCATTTGGGTAAACCCTGGCATTGCATTATCGGGTTTTTATTATCAGAGGAAAAACCGATAACGATCCTTACAGATATTACATAACTATGCTAATATCTGGCCGATAATTTCGGTCGGACATCCCTAGTTTTTAGTTATTTATTTATTTTTTACCAAACATTGACTTTTAACCAAGTGCACCTCCTGACTCATCACTCAACATTCCTAGTCCAGCTCCGTGTTTACAGAGTCATCAGTCGTTCATTAACACAAACCACTCCTTCTCCAGGGAGCCACGCTTTTTATAGTTCTATTTTCCACAGTAGTGATGTTCAGCTGGGAGTCCCCCCCCCCCCACACACACACACTTCCATTCATCCTCCCTCCCACACCCCTGCACTCAGCCAGCCTCAGCCTCCACCCTAATGATGCTGCTCCAAAAGGATATTATTTAGCAGTGTCAGGATTGATTTCCATATTTTAACTCTAGGATCGGTGAGGCTGCTGACTGTGTTGTGGCAGCAGTGAACCTAATATGAAAGGACCCGGCCTGAGGCGGTGCAAAATAAATCCTGTTCAATAAGATGTGGACTGACAGCTAACAGTAACAAAAAAAAACGTCTTCTTTGCCGACGTCCTCAGTCTTCCCCTTCTGTCAAGGACGTTTATACTTATATATAAACCTTTATATGCTGTATATATATATTTTTTATATAAACATAAACATGTACATAAATGTATATGTTTATATGAATGTATATATGTCTATGTATATGTATATATGTTTATATATTTATATATGTATATATATATATACAGTATGTATATGTATATATACATATAAAGTATAATATCCTATAATATATACATATTATACTGTATGTATACTGTGTGTGTAGTGTGTTTCTGCCGCGTTGTTTCGTTGACGAGTCTTTCTGCCGAAAAATGTCAATTTGTGTGTATATCTATGTATATATGTATACGTGTGTATATACTTGTATGTATATGCATATATACATACACATTTATCTATATAAATATACACACACACACTTGTCTGTGTTTGAGGCACTACACTATTCTTCTGACAGTGCAGAGAAAGTGGTTTCAATTAGCTCCAGACGTGTTTTTCATTTTCTTTTGACTCGTTGGTTTATCATGCGCTATAGAGATGAAGTGGGCAAACCAAACAGGCCTCATTATCGTCACCGCCGTTCTCCTCACTATTCTCTCTCTCTATTTCTCTTGCTCTCCCCCTCTCTCTCACTCTCTCTCCACCGACTTTTTTCCCGTGGTCTATTTGTCTGCGTTTGCCGCTGCCTCCCTCATGATTGAATGCTTTGCGTTAAAACTGGGCCACCCTGGCAGCCTGACAAATGAAGGCAATAGCATGTTTGGAGACACCTCGTTCAACAGTTATTGAAGTTGATAACTTATAATTTGCATATAGATAAGGCATTCTTACCTAGACTAAATATTTAGCATATAAAGTAGGATTGTTCTTTTTTCTATTTTTTTGTTTTTTTGTTTCTCTTCCGCTTGACAAAAAGCTGGTGCACTATCTGAAGGGAGATTGCTTGGTGTTTGTTTAGTGGTGAGAAAATGTCACTTTGCCACTTGGGGATGTAATTAAAAATGAGAAATATTCCGCAGGACTTGAAGAGGAGGCAGCAGAGTGGAAGGAGAAAGACAATGACTCATGTACAGCGACTCAGCGGGGCTGAAATCCATCTCTTTAGTACTATTGTTCCTCCATGAATCATGAATGGATCGTCTAATACTGCAGTAAACAGCAGGACAAAGAGAATCCATTCATACGTTCTGTCGGGAGGAACTCAGTGAAGGTGTGACTATCAGTCACCTTTCTGAAGCTCACAGCTGTCATCACAACTGCAGCCAATCCTACGTTCGTTTGACAATGTGATCCAGTTACTGTCAGTTTATCCTTTTTTACAGAAGGGTTTCCAAGTTTCCTCCAGGAAATGTTGAGCTCCATCAGACAACTTGTCATTGACTGCAAGCGTCACATGGCGCGCTGAAACAGTTGTAACCATAGAACTGATGTATGGTAGCATGACGATCAGAGATACTGTTTTCCGTGACTGGAATAATAGCCATTTATATCACAGGTAGTCCGGAACGGTTCACAATTAAAGGTAAAAATTGACCCTGTAGCAATGGAGAAAAACAAACAGGAAGTGATGCCTTCAATTATAGTTTGTTATTGTGATTTTAACAACCCCCCCGCCCCCTCCTAGGGATCTTAAATTCACCTTTTTTAAGGATAGAATAAATGCAGAGCCAGAGATGACGATGACCTGCCAATTAGCACAGTGACCTTTGCTCTTGCCACCTCCCTTCAAATTCAAATCTAAGATTATATTTTTAATCCAGATTATGGGAATTAACATTAGTGGATAATAAAATTAAGACCATGAATGTTACACAAGATTATAACGTCAATGTCATTCTGTAATTATAAGTGAAACAAACACTACCCTCATCACCAAAGTCAAAGAAAACTTGTTGAGAAAACGACCTAAAAATACTCTTAATGGAAACGATTTTGAAAACAAGTGTTTTGTATAAAATATATAAAACAAAATGTAGCATTAAGGCTGTAAATCTCAGAGACAGACAGAGAACAGAATGTTTTGAGCAGCATTCAAGTGCAAAAGTGTCCATTTGTTCTAGAACTCTGCTGAGTCAGACTGCTGCTCCCTCTGAGTCTGGATCTGCTGCCGGTTTTTCCTTTCCCTTTTTTTTCCCTCTGCCAAACAAAGATCGAGAATCAAACATTTGAAGTGTCTTATGTCCTTAAACCACAGTTGTACCTGTATATTTCACTCCATATATATTTTAGTTTGCCGTATGTATACAGTACTCTATCACCCCCTGTTCATCTTTTGTGTTGTGTCCCCTTACCTGACCTCCTGCTGCTGGAGCCTCCTCTGCAGGATCAATACAGTTGAATTGAATCTGGAATAATAGAACAGCTGCCCCCAACATGGAGCTTAAACAACCAACATTAGGAACTTTTTTAAAGCCTGGGGGTGGTGAATAACACTAAATTGATTTTTATTCCTCTCCTGTCCTTCCCTTCTCTCCACCCCTCCCTCTTACCTCTACCTCCCTCCTTTCCGCCCCCTCAATCTTTTACTCTCTTGGCCAAAAGGCACGTCACCCTGGAAAATATTTGACTGTAAAGCAGTGGTCCCCAACCTTTTTTGGCCTGTGATCCCATTTTGATTTCACACATTTCTGGAAACACCAGAGATCTTTATTCAGTCACATGATCACAGCTGTCAATCAAAATGCCCCGGCTCAGCCATGCAGTTAATTTGATCCTGGATTTATATAGTTTGTGTGTAAATGTTTTTTCTTGTTGTGTATATGTCTATGTATGGGTGTGTGTGTGGGGGAGTGGAGGGGTGGAGGGCTGTTTTTTTCTTTTGCTCCTCGGAGAGAAAGCCAAGTAGCAAAGCTTTTAATTATTGATCACTGATAAGTTTATCAGCTGAACCGTATTAAATGAACAAACTTCAGCAGGGGATTGTTTTCCTGTTGCTGAGGTAGTCACATGTTTAATGTAGTGTGTTGTGGTTGATAATGTGATAGGAAAGTGGAAGGGAAGTGAACGACTCACTACTGTCATTGTGACACAGCACACCACTGCACACAACCAAATGTGACCTCTGTGGTGACTTGGCAGCTGGTGGACTCGAACCTGGCCCCTTTACACTGCATGGTCTAAAATGTTTACTCACAAATCTAGAAAACTAAATCTAACACAAACAAGGTGTAATTATTAGAACCACAGTGTAGTTGTCTTGGTATATTTTAGTCTTTTTTTTTTAAATTAAAATAACTTTCTGGTTGGGGATACCATATAAATTTAATCAAAACCGTCTTTGATAAATTCCCTGCAGAAACCACAGTAACCGGGTTCACCGGGATGTCTTTGTGAGACTTCGGACGGTGGAGAGCAGGTTGGTCAAACACTCAAAAGATCATATTTAAACTAAAAAAAAACTGACCTGAAAATGTTCTCTGGTATCTCAGATACCGACTGACTGCTGTGTCCCCAAACTACAGAGGGAACGGAGCGCTCCGACTCCAAAGCTACAGTCAGGAATAATGAGACGACTTGGGAACGTTGGTCTTATTCCACAGCTCGCCTCCTAAAAAGGTTAGCCACGGCCAATTAATCCATCTGGTTAAAAAGGTCAGGTCTCTGTGTTAGAGAGACTGGGAATAAAGCCGTACAAGAATTCACCGCCGCCTTATCACAGAGCCACATCGTGGTCCATTATAAAGGTTTGTTTAGACATGACTAAAGCATAAAGCTCATATCTTGTAATAGTTTTTCTTGACCTTTTGCTGAATCATGGAGCAAGAAGCTGTGATAAAAGTTTCTATTTACATTATTTACGACCCCTCTGCTACTGTGAAAACCAAAAGGCCAAGTTTCAGTCATGACATGCTGAAAGGGAGACCTTTAGAGTGTTACTACTACCTAACTCTGGAGCATAGAACATTTTTTTTGTTACATTAAAATTAAATTAAAAAAGAACCTCAAAGCAACAAAAGGGTGTGCAGTCAGAAGGATAGATGGGTTCAAATTCGCATCCACAGTGAAGAAGGAACTTATACAACGGTCTTCTGGTGATCGTTCATAAGTAATCTCTCTCCCTTTCTGTCTCTGCCTCTTTCTCTCTCTCAACGTTTCCTTATACCCAGCCTCTTCTTCTCTTTATCATACAGTCTTGTGTTATCTCTATCTATCTATCTATGTATCTATCTATCTATCTATCTATCTATCTATCTATCTATCTATCTATCTATCTATCTATCTATCTATCTAAAAAGAACATGTATGTACGTGTATATATAATACATGTTCTTTTTCCCCTGTGCTGCTGCAACACAACACTCTCCCCAGTGCGGGATCAATAAAGTTGAAGTTCATTGACCGTGATGTTTGCAGATGACATTGTAATCTGTGGTGAGAGTAGGGAGCAGGTGGAGAAATCCCTGGAGAGGTTGGGGTTTGTTTTGGAAGCAAAGAGGAATGAAGGTCGGCAGAAGCCAGACAGAATACATGCAAGACAGAAAACCTACAGACTAGGAGTAGAGGTAGTACCAGTACAAGTACCGAGGGTACATCAAAGAATGTTCATAGAAGTGCACACAAAAAAAGGTGGAGTTGTTGTTTTTTGGGTGGAGACAAGTGTCAGTGTGAGTCGTGACAATAGAAAAGAATCGAGATGTTGATTTGAAACGTGCCAGTTTTTATTTATTTTTTTTCAGGCTAGTTTTTATAGTAAAAGTGGTCCGGGGTCCATTAAATATTAGGTTCGAAGTTGGGATTGTACCTACGCAAAAACGTAGTCTTTCGGGACATTCATCTTTGGTCTTTCATTTGAAAAACTTCTCCATTCTTTTTGTTACAGCTACCATTTTAGAGCTCGTTAAGGAACTGACTGAACATTACTGCCACTATGTGGTTGAAAGTTGCATTGCAACTGAACATCTCATGGATAACATATCTCTGGTGTCATGTGTTGATAACCTATACAGTCCCGTGGCCTTCAGGTGCAAAACTGAAAGTTCTTTGCCGCCCTCGACGTGGCACTGGCATTGACTGGTTGTCTCTTTATGTCACCATGTGATAGACCGAAGAACCTCACCTTTGCCTGGTGACTACTGGAATTTCCTTCACCTCGCCCCATGACCGTGAAAAGTCTAGTCTCAAAACCTAAACCGTACTTTGCAGGAAGCAAGAATTTTGTTCCTTTAAGACGTCTCAAACTTCACAAGAATTCCTGGAAAGTCGATGGGAATTGTGGGAAATTCACAGCAACTGAAGAAAACCTGGAACATGTTTGGATCTCCACCTTAACCCCACCCACCTCAAAATCTGACCAGTCACGATAGTGTGACATTCATAGTACAGGATGAATTAATGAATAAAAACCAACAAATGTTCAGAGGTTTTCTGCTATGTTCCGCTGGTCACAGGAGGAAGACATGGTCTTTAGGATGAATTTTGAAAACACAAATGTCTTTTTTTAAATTAAATCTTTTCTCCACTGCCTCAGCCCTGTGGTGATGATGGCTTTAATCTGTTCTAATCTCAGGCCTCCTGCCAGTAAAAACTGCTCCGGGCTTTTAAAGACAAACTCTTCACAGAGAGAAGCAGCTGCTCAGAGACACCAACAGCCAGCAGCGGAGGAGCTGGGCTGGAGAAAATGAAGAAGTGCTAGTTGTCTTTACTTCATGCTTCCTGAGCCACAACTCACGTCCACGATCCGGACCAACATGTCGATGACATAACAGGTCCCAGGAGCTGCTGATGCTCTGTTTCCTCCCGTTCTTTGCTCTCTGAGGAATCCCGAAAACGTGTGGCTGAGTCTCCGCTGGCGGAATCAGCCGCGATCAGCTGCTTTTCAACTTCACACCAACATTTCCCATCAATTATTCAGAGGCCCTGAAATAATGTCGTCTGCATTTTCTTCTCTTCAGAGAAGGAAAGAAAGAATCATAAATGAACAGTCACAGCAGTGGCGACAACTCCGGCAGTGGAGCAATTAAATTAAAAACATCACGTTCCAAAGATTCAAGAAGGACAGACAGGGGGAAATCAGAGCAGCAGTAAGTAGAACACGCTGAGATTTCTGCCGAATCAAGACGCAGAACGATGGATTATTATTATTCCCCTTCATGTTCCACTCATGGACTATTCATGTGTCAGTCCATCAGCAGGTCTGAAGCTCTGCGAGCTGCTCTGAACAGTGAAACAGAAAGACTGATGACTTAGAATCATGATCTAGGGAGTGGGGCCCCCGAGGGAGGGTGTGGCTACTGCAGCGCCGATGAACTTCAGTTTCAACATTTTCTGTGTGCGTGTCGCATCAAATACATGGTGTCTGTAGTTTGATTTCCTTTGTTGAGTTAGAATCGCAGTGTTGGAAATATGGTTTCGTTTTAAAACCCAGTCTGTGAGTGAGGGGTAATCAAGAAAACGATTGGAATCAGTGAGAATACAGGAAGTTGAAATAATACTGTTGAAATTTTGGAGGTGTGGACCCCCACACCATAGACCAGACACAGAAGCAGGTCATGACCTGGGGTCAGAGGTCATCCTGTCGAATTATACAGCGAAGAAATTCTCTGATGGAAACACCACTGAGAAAGAGAGTAGAAACTATTGAAACTATTCAGTGATGTCGATTGTGAAGCTCCTTGTCTCTTGTTTGTTGGACCCAGCATGAATCATGATGTCCTGCTGGAAGCAGCCATCTGGATGATGATCTCTAAGTTGTTCGCTGTGTGTTTTTGACCTGGTCTTTGCCAAGTCTGGATCTTATATCCGCCGCTCAACTGGACTTGGTCCAAGTTCCTGTTCTGCCTTCAAGGTCACTTTGAACCTATACACGAAGTTCGCGCTTTTGAGTCCGACCAGCCTGGAGTTACATGGAAGTAAATAAACAATGAGAGAACAAACAAACACCACATAGCATTTGATCTGAGCAAGTTTGAAAAGTAAGAATAACGTGAAACAGAACTGTGAGGCGTTTGAAGTTTTCTGATGTTCCCCTCTGTGATGCTCTCCAAACGAGACAGATCTGGACAGCCCTACTGTAGCCCGCCAGTCCAACATCTTGATGAACATCCAAATCTGTTTCTTCCTGCAGCGTCAGATCAGCGTCGCGCAGCCACAGACTTTGACTTTATGTCTTTCATAAAACAGCATAAACGGACCCTTAACTGTGTTCACTGCACTGCAACAATCACCTGATCATTCCTCCTCTTCTGTTGCATCAATTGCGTCGGGTTGACTGTGAAGCTCATCGTTTCGTTTCCTGCGCCCAGCTTGAGTCGTGTTGGCCTGCTGGAAGCAGCCAATTAGATGATGCTGTATGTCTGTGTGTGGACACAACAGACGAAAACATTTCACACACAAACTTCAGCAGCAGCACACGTGGCCAGAAGAATCCTTGGGTCTGGGCTGTTGGCTCACATCCTCACCATGCTGACTGTAGGCTGCATCACGGAGACAGACTGATATTTGAATAACTGTCTCCTTCCCGGCAGCTCCAGCCACTCTCTGTGTTCTCCTCTGACCTCTCTTATTCACACATGGCTGTTGCCCACAGAATGCCATCGCACTGGATTTGTTTGTGTGTTTTTCTCAGCATTCTCTCAGGAACAACCTCAGACTCACGGTGACGGAGAAACTCCCAGGAGAGCAGATAATCAAATCAGTTTGTTTGGCTCCAACACTGTTTGGTTTCAGTGTGTCTAGAAGCTTGGAAGTAGTGAGCTGCTGATGCACAATTGTCTAATTAGATATTTTTTGTTAACAAACAGACTCATGGGAACTAAATGGAATACAAACATTTCTTCCCACTAATTGCTTTGAAAACAGAATTCTGACTTCAACAAAAGTGTGTTTTTGTACCAAGCTGTGAATCCAACAATAATTTCATTTTGACTCAAACAAATTCACCGTCTTGTTTACGTTGAGTTGTTTTGTTAAATTTTTATGTTATTTTGTTGGCTCGTAACTCACCTTCTGCAGCCTGTAGGTGGTGCTCAATTTACATTTGAAAGTTCTTTCCTGGTTTGTTCTGTATATAAATCTAATCCCATCAAATGGGTTGAAACTATTTCACATGGAAATATGGAGCATATTTTAAGAAATGAACCTCAGGAAAGTCATTTAGCGTTAGCCCGTTTTGTAGTTTGATAACGCCTTGTCTGTTAGCGATGTCTTCAACAAGTACAGTAAGTTAACATCCTTAGCTACACTAGTTTTCCTTGTCATTGTCAACAGAAAGTAAAAAGCCTCTAAAAATAACTCAGTGTGAAAATAATGTAATGAGTCTAAGCTACTTTCCGATAGTAATCCGTAACTACAACAGGGGTCAGCAACTCTTTTTGGAGGGGCAGAATCTTTCTGGACAGATACTTCGGGGGCCAGACACTCAATTAAAATTCAATAAAAGTCCCATTTTGTCTAATATTATATTGATGTTTTGACGTATTCAGTTGCTGACCAGATTGGACAGTTTGTCAGGCTGGTTTCAGCCCACAAGCCACCAGTTGATAATCTCCATACTAAAGCTTGAAACCTTAACAAACCCAAACATGAGGTGGTAAAAGTACTCCTCTATCTGCGGTAACTCCCAGACATCACTGTGGTATCTGTGCGTCAGTCACAGTGTGTGACAAGACATGGCTCCGCCCCCGACACCGGAGAGTTCTCAGAGGGCACGACTCTTGTTCTGTTTGTTTTCCATTGCTCTGAATTATAGATTAGGGAATCATTGTGCAGCGACTGAGAGAATTCTTTAAAAGACTTTCAAACTCCTGAACAAAGTCTAGCACATAAACAAAGTTGACGCACTTTTTATACCAGCAGTAAAAGAAAGAAAAATCTGCAGCTTGCTGATACGCTTGAGCCTTTATGCATAAGAAACAATAATGTTTTTTACTGTCAAAGACTTAATAAGACATGCTGAATAGACTTGTTTAAAACATCATACCTGCCACGTACTGCATGGAAAACATTAATTTGATTTTATTTTTATTACGGAATGATTATATATATATATATATATATATATATATATATATATAGCACCTTGCTCCTACATACAGTATGTCTGCAGTTGAAAGCCCTTGTTTAAGCTCTTGTTTTCTCTGGTTACCTACTTTTGTCATTTTATTGGATTTTATTTCATGAAAAAGGAAAAGGAGAGGTCATGCACCGTTCTTCATTTTTAATTTTGTCAAAAAGGTGGGTGCACAGGAACCCATTTTCATTAAGTACCTGTGACCGGGAGCAGTTGGTGGGAAATTATTCATAATAACTTAGGACAATAAAACGTCTCAAACACCCAGAAATCCCATTGTTGCATCTCTAGTTCCTGCTGGTCAGCTTAGAGGTTAAGGATAAGGTTAACTGTTAACATTTTAAACAGGCTAGAGGTGGGAACGTGAGTGTGAATGATGTCCAGGGTGTAACTCTGCCCACACATAATGATGATTGGTTGATGACACTGGAAAAAAAATAACTGGTAGAAGATGAATGAATGAATGAATAAACATTTGTGTTGTTCCATGTGACTTCTGTCTATTTTAAATGTTACAATAATTGTGTAAACGAAGGCTCTATAAAAGTGGATGAACTCATCCGCCGGTGTGGATGTGGGGCTGTCTGTTTACTCCCAGAGTGAAGGGAGGGACGCGGGGGGAGGGTGGTGTCATTGAACGGCTGCTGTATCGATTAATGCTTTATTTCTAAATACAGACTGACAGTCGGGGCAGCTCCTGGATCTTCCGACGGCTGACTCAGTGCCTCGGTGCTGTCACACTGCTGCCTGGCTGTGGCAGGTTGGTTCCTCCGTCAGTGGATGAACATATCCATCTTCACACCTCAGGGTCCTCTTCGGCAGCCCATCTCCCCGGCCGCCAATTCTGCTGAATCTAATAAGGGCGTTTGAGGTGAGCGTCCGCGATCTCTGTGGAGGTTTTATTCACTTTCGGGGGGGTTTCAGCGCAGGGGGGATAATTCTTGGGGGCAAGACTTTGAACTGTTACAACTCCCATTTAGGGGTGTGTGTGTGTGTGTGTGTGGATGTGATAACTCAGTCACTGTGATCTTTTCTCTATGTTAGAAATATAAAATAATGTCATGACAGAGCCACAGGCTGTGAACCTTTAGTAACGATCTACCCTGTGATTGTTACCCAAGTGCCCTTGGGCAGGTTTTCATTTGCCTGCATTAATATTAAAAATCTGCAGCAGATGTGCTTTTTTGATGGAAATAACATTATTGACCTTTGTAACCGTCTGTATGACAGGAAGAACACAGCCATCGCTCTTCTCCTTCGTTCAGTATTCCTGTAGCGCGGCCTCCTCTGGCTCAGGTCCCTGCATTCTTTAGTCTGAAAAGTTAAAAACAACTTCTTCAAGTTAAACGGATAGTTTTGTTTGTTCTTCTTTTAAAGAGCACACTTGCTGACGTGGCATGTCGGTAAATGTCATTGTTTAGCGCAGAGCAGTAACGGGTGTTTAAAGGCAGCAGTGAGTCATGCGACCGCAGCGGTTTGCTGCTGATTTTGGGCCGTGATTATGCAAATGGTGTTGTGATTGAGTTAGGGTGTCCTCGTTAGTGAGAAACAGCAGCAGCAGATATGAATTCATCTACAAGACTATTAATTAATTCATGCATTAACTTGGCCCGCCCTCGTAAAAATAAAGTGAAACATAAACACATGAGAGGTGAAGGAAAGGGACCACCAGGTTTACTAGGCTCTAAAAGAACAAACACAGTTATTCATACTTTAGATTTATTTTTAAGAATCCACTTTGCATGAGATTAGGGACCGTGTTTTTTCTGACCATCCAATCAAATCACTCAAATTGCCAATGCAACTCTGCACCAGCTAGAAGGCCTTGCTATGCCAACTCAAAATCTGATTGGTTAAAGAAACAAACACATTTCCATTCATTTTGCACTACTGACCACTGAGGCCTAAGGGCAGATTTCCTTCAACCTGGCAACACCTGAGGCTGAAATGTGATTGGATAAAAAACACGAGTACATATGACAGGGCAGCGCAACCAGAGAAAAACCAAGAATGAGAATAAACGAATACAACAGAATACTATTTTATAATTATTCATGATAAATATATCAAAATAAACGCTGACACTAGACAGGAAAGGCTTTGCTGACATTGACGTTACACTACTGCCCCTGTGGGAGAAGATGAGAAACAAAGGCTCGGCTGCTCTGTTGACACATTTTACCTCTTAATCTTCTGTGTCGGTGGAAGAAAAAAAAAACAACTAAATCTATTCTGCTGTGTTCTAATCTATATCAGGGCTGCACCCAGTCTGTGTATGGCTCCACCGGGGAATAGATCTGTGGGCCTGAAATCGATGCCTGATCATTAGCACATCTACTGTAAGGCTGTTATCATTATCAGGTGGAGGAGACTCCCAGGAGAACAATCACGGCACGTTTCAGTCTCCTTGGCTGCTGCCTCAGGATCTACAGGTATGTTGTCACAAAAAAGTTCAACAAATAAATAAAAAGCTCATCTGGGGACAGTGTAACAATAGACAATGGACCGCACAGCTAAGAGTAAGCATTTGTCCTTAGCAGAGAGGCGAACACAGAGATGCTGTGGTGCTTTCAGTTGCAGTGGTTGCAAAATAATTCCGGTCTTTTTCTTTACAGAAAATATCTGGGTCAGGGACCACAGGTGGGGTCACAGGGTCACTGATGTTGGCCTGTGACAACTTCCAGGTATAATTTAATTCTGCAGGTGTGCTCAAAATATCTGAAGCTTTAGAATATAACTATACTGTAAACAAAAAAGAAAACGTGGTGACAATGAATGGAGATCCCTGCCTAAAACTTTTGCTCAGTACAATATTTATTAAATACCACAAGGTTTGTAGTTATATTACAGTTGTAAGTGATAAAAACTTTAATGACAGTGGGTAATCTTCTGTCTCGAATCCGTCACTTTTCTTCGCTTCCTTCTGATTCAGGCGATAGCTTTACCTGGAGAACATTTTCCAGAAGGTTCAGGCAGTAGATATCAGCAGCCCCCATCAATCAGCTGGAAATGAAAGCAGCAGTTGTATTTTCTCAGTGCCTCTGTGCTGGATATTAAAGTTCAGTAAACAATAACTCTTCCACTTAAAGCCTGTCCACGGCTCCAGATAAACGCCAAGGTTTTTTTAACGTCCAGCTGCAGGTGACGCCTCTGATAGTCATCGGGTTCATTAAGACTCTGCAGCTAAATGAAAAACACTCATTAGTGGGATCACTTCACTCGTCTTCTCACGGAGTGGACAATGCTCCGACTTATGATAAGATCGCTATCATCGCGCTGGGCCACGGCCGTTTAATGAACTGGGAGAAGACATCAGTGCTCAATACTGACACCTGTTGGATCACAGACTACAACGCAAAACGTTGACTGGAACCAGATGATCAAAAACACATTTACCTGAAATATGTACAGTATTTATATTTATCTTATTACAAGGTAACCTGTGCTTAGCTTAGCATTGGTGCCAACCAGCTTAAATCAGCTTTGAAAGCAGGACTAGTTAGGGACTAATGTGGGCAGCATTAGTGTTGCTTCTTTGAGATCTCCACTGGTATTTCCTTATGAAATTGTCTACATCATGCATGTCAAACTCAAGGCCCGGGGGCCAAAGCCGTTTTGTGTTGCCCGTTTGAGCTTAAAAAGCATTTAGTAAAGTCCATGCAGCAGAGTTTCTTACCATAAGAAATTAAAAGTTTTTTTTTATTACACAGCAATGTTTGCAGCTTGAATTAATAATAGTCAATTGCAGAAACATGTATTGGTCTGTTATGGAGTATTTACATCTATACCAGCAGTCCCCAACCAAGGACTGGTCAGCCAATACCACCCGTTACTACAGATACAAGGTACTGAGCACTGAAGGATTATTTTATTATTTTTTCAAAATAAAACATCTTATCTTTAAATAAATAAAGTAAATTGATATGGCTGGGTTTTCTTTAAATGAAGTAAATTAGTAAAAAAATGGACTGAATGACCTATGGACTGGTACTGGTCCGCGGACCAGGCGTTGGGGACCCCTAATCTATACAGTCTTCCAGTTACAACCGGCCCTTCAAGGGGAACTGTATTGCTGATGTGGCCCTCGGTGAAAATACTGCGGTATTTTACGGTAAATATATTTTTTAGCTGTCCAATATTTTTAAACTATTTTTGTGATAGAAAAACATTTTCTCACCTGAAAGAAATTAAGGTAAAATATAGCAAAAAATAAACTAAAAGACATCGCTGGTAGCTTTGTTTACTTAGGGAATCGAGCACAGCATTGAGTTCTGCTGTCCCTCACGCTGATTGGCTCATGCATCGTAGCGTCTCTCAGCATCTCCATTTGCTGTAGTTTGTGCTCTTGTGTTTGGTGAAAGTTGACCCTAATTGAACGCCCTACGATGCCTCCTGAACGCTGCGACACCTGATGTTACGAAGCGCAAACGAAGACGCTGACACAGACGACAGTTAACAGCCTTTATTTTTCTTTACAATAATGTCCGACCGTCTTGGCCAGTATTCACTCTTCCGTTCACTCGCCTTGGTCCATTGATTACTCCAATTGCGCTCACCTGCGTCGCCAGCCCCGGTGCTTCTCCCTTCTGCAGCTGAGCGCTAACCTCCGCCGCGGCCGCCACAATGTGTATTTACGTAATATGTATGTCTTATATTTCCATTCTACAACTCTACTGTGCATATAATTGTGTGGGAAAGGGTAATACAGTCTATGGAGGGTTGATAACAGTGTGTGTGTGTGTGTGTGTGTGTGGGGGGGGTTCGTAAAGGGTAACTATATACGTAAATAATATAATAACTCTTGCCTTTACTTCGCGGAACTACTATCTAACCACCGCGATAGGAGAGGGATCACTGTATACGCACTCAGCCTCGCTTTCAATAGAGCAGTGGTTCTCAAACTTTTTATATTCTGTACCACCTGAGAAAACATGGAGCTCTCTGAGTACCACCGTGATGACCAACAGTAGAATATAGCGTCATAGGTTTTCCCTATTAGCTTCCACCACACAGGAGAGGTGTTTATAAAGATGTTTATGTTTAAATGTTGTATTAACTGTGCATGATATGTTTCAGATGTATTCAATTGAAAATGTAAATGTGAAAAAATAGTTAAATAGAGTTTTCCCCCACGTACCATTAAAGAGCGCTAGTAGTTTTCCCCACGTACCATTAAAGAGCGCTAGTACGCGTACCACAGTTTGAGAACCACTGCTATAGAACACACTCACAATCTATAATTATGGATGCCATTCGAAAATGAAAAAGACAGACAAATAAAAAATAAAATAGAGCCACGCTATTATATTATTTTAATGGATAAGGATGAATATGCAAAAGTCGGGCATTGTTGAGCTTTCAGAAATAAAAACACTAAGGGCATGTTATAATATTAATCAGTGTTAAGTTACGTTTTCACTTGGTCAGCAATTTTCTGCCACCATTCCTCTGTTTCCAGTTTGGCGGTGACTGCGTTGCTTTTGGCAGTGATGGTCTTTTTTTAAATTCCTCATAACTTTGAAATATGTGGCCCGAGCCTGCTTCACTTTGCGTGGAAGTTGAATATTATGACGTCATCGCCCCCTTTTTGTGAACGTGCACCGATGTCTCTGAACCGGTTGACTTTGTTTGGGGCTTGGAGGTGTTGTTATGAATGGAGGTATTTTGAGCCTCCTTCAGTACTGGCCAAAACTGAAATGTGGTTTCTGTTGTTGTTCTTCAGTCTTCATGGACGAGGGTTCAGATCCAAGATGATTGGAAATCACAGCCTTTCCTGTTTCCAAACAACAAGGGTGTCGTCATTCTGCCAATGGCCACCAGGGCAGCGCTGTCAGCTCCAAGGTAAGTGACGTTTTTGTGTCAAGCGTTTCCTGTTTTCTGGCTAATCAGAAGTTTGTTTGCTGGTTTGTTTGTTTTTTTCATTCGTTGTTTGTTATGCTGAGTGTTACCGCAGTGTTGGGTTTCTGCTTCTGTCAAGGCCAAGAGTGACCAACTATGGTACCAAAAACTGGTTGTGTCTGGTACCATAGCAGGTCCTGCAGTTGTTTTTCAATCTATGTTATATGTTCCTCTGCTTGTACTAGACGATAGAGAAGGTAGGTCACTCAGTTGTTGGATATTCTGTTGGGTCTTCTGCATATTTGTAGTTTCAGAATGTGATTGAAGTACCAGTGGTGGTACTACAGTACTCCATTTTACAGTGTCTGTTTGATATATAATCTATTAATCTGATCAGGAATATATTATCTTTATAAACAGGTTTTACCTGGGCAGTACAGGTCTGTGCTGCAGTATTTTAGTGTTGGATTTGGATTGAAGTGTTGGCTACTTGTGTTACTGGTGGTACCAGTGGTACTAGATATGGGTGCTTTCTGAACTACTGGACTACGTGGTTGGTATTTGGGCACAAGGTGTTGTTGTAGAAGTGTTTTCCATATTGCAGGTCATAGGGTGATGTACTGGCAATACAATATCATATCAGGATACATGGGCAATGATACAATATATTGCGATATATTGCGATAATATTGATGTAACATTGATATATTGAGTTTTAAAAAACATCAGATCTACATTTGTAATCACTGGAGAAGAAATAAAAGCCAAAAAGAAAGAACCAACGCCATGAAGATTTCCATGTTAGTGTTGTAAAATATCAATACAGTATGTTGGAACGAAATATTGTAATATTCCACTGCATCAATATTTACTTACACCCTGAGTAGCTCACAGTGCAGCAGTACTCACCCACAGCACCATGAGTAAATATAACACCATGTGAACCAGCATACGCTTCTAGTGGCACATCGGACGAGACGTTTTCTTGGCTTCAGTCTTAGAACTTTTGTATCTTGCCTTAAAAAAGCTGTTCTTTGTTTAATGCACTCTCACCAAAGTAACGCGTTGAACTGCTGACTCATGGTTCGTCATTATGGTGAACAGTAAGTTGATAAAATGTTATATACAAAAGATAATATTCAATATATTTAATTAGAAAGTGAGTTGATGCACAGAGTCATGACGTGGCCTTTTTTTTTCACTCGTTTTAGTTTTTCTCTCTCTTTAAACTAAGACGATAAGTTTTAGGGGCTAATAGATTCAAATATTGGTTATTCTCCAGGTCCGTGGTTGCTCCGGTGTGATTTGTCTTTCTGGGTTCGTTAAGGTAATAAGAGAGTGTCAGAAATGATAAATGTACATCCTGATGCTGTACAAGTCTAATCCTCACAGACCCATCTTCTACACTGATCTCCAGATTCAGCCATTTTTTGGTTCCACTCTGTTCTCCAAAGTTGACAGATGTAAATAACTTGTAATGATTTTTTTTTTTTTGTTCACTGTGTAAAGTCAGAGAGAGAGAGCTGCTGTGTGTGTATGGTGTCAAGGTTGCTAGGTTACTGGCAATAAAAAAAAAGTTAGTACTGGCACTCATCAGTTCACCTGTCAGCTAAAAACAGTCTGAGCTCAGAATTATCCTTCCTTACATAACTGGCTCATATCCCACACTGCACCGTGAGAGTGGCCTGAACCACAGACAGTAGTCAGACACAGTATGTGGAGACGGAGGAAGTCAGAGTCAGAGTGGCGCAGCGTTCACCTGACCTGTCGAACAGACGGTCGTAGCAGTGAGCTGTGGGCGACAGAGGCTACAAGTTCAGTCATGAACAACTTTAAACCATTAGAAATAACTACGCTTTAAATGTACTATTTCATCTCTTTTACTCTTGTAGTGATTTTAAGTAAAGTGCCACAAAAGTTTATATGAAACTCAAATATGTTTTTTCTTTTCCTCTCGTTCTGCCGCAGTATTCTGCTTCTTCTCTCCTGGCTTCTTTGTTCATTTCTTTTCTTTTCTCTTTATTTCCTCCTCCCCCTCCTTCTCTCCTTCTTCTTCTCCTTGATTTGATTTGAAGTGTGACATGTTCTGTTCAGACTGTCCTCATGAATCAGAAATGGGTCACATGTGGGTCACAAAGGTCAGATTTGGGCCACATTTGCCTCCAGCATAAATGTAGTCCGTGTTGTGGGACAAATTCCAGAGGGCACCTGTGTTTCTCAGCCATCAAAGGAACGAAAAAAACATTCAGAACCAAAACCCATCCCCGGGAGCCGGCGTTTGTCCACAGAACTCAGAAATTCCACTCACGGCTCACGCGCATGACAGTAAATTCCATACAAAGGCGTAGAGAACAAAGGAAAGTCAGAACTCCTGTCATCCACCCCGTCCTCCACGTTTAATCCTGACTGTACCTAATGACTCCCAGAGCAACTGGACTAATTATATTTGTACAGCGCTGAAGGAGGCTGAGCCCCTATACAAGCATATGTCAGTCTGTGAGCCAGCATCAGAGGAAAAGGTCAATTACAGTGGCGTGTCCAAGGACTCTCTATCACAGCCTGACCTTTGGTTTGATGTGCTAAGAAAACCCACGAGAGCTTCCTCTAAATGTCACATGTTTCCTGACAGGGTTTGATTCCCCCGGTGCTGGACTGTTTACACTAACCCCCGTCCCTATTGAGTCACTGTTTGTGAGCCTCCTCTAACCACAACCTTTACAGTGGGTGGAGTCACAGACTCGAGGTTAAAGATGATGTCACACGTCAACGTTGTTGGCTAGATTTTGTACGTGATTCTAAAGTTAGTTTTGGTCACAGGTGAGAAAACGTGGGCCGACCTCAGTCACAGTCATGTAAAGACTGGGGCTACCAGATGTTTGACAAGATACCGATTACTTTCTTGGCAATTGTTTTTGATACCGATGCTTTGTGTGATTTTTTTTTTTCAACCCATATTTATAACATATTAGTCATAACAAATGATTTAGTGTTTTTACACCATAGTGTAATTGCTTGCATTAAGGTACAAGGTTGTTAAGTCGACTCAACCACATGAAGTCACTGCTCACTTCTGGTCAGTGGTCATGTGATATGAATGGATCAGCTCAGTTTTCCTGAACCATGGGGGTCAGATGGGGAGGGTGTTGTTGCAGCACAAAAGCCTGTGATTATAGTAAATTACCCTTAAAGACGTAGCATGCACTTTTTTTCATGTACTATTAAGTATTGATATTTACTTTCTTTATGAGAGTAACTGATACTCATCGATCCATACTCGATGTGTTGATACTATGGAGTCAGTACTTTTGCCACTACAGTCATGTTTGGATGTTTGGATCCATACTCAGGGAGTACAGTGGTATCCTTTCTGCATTATTGAGTATTTAATCAATTAGATTATTATTTTTTTATTAATGTCTAAAGTTATTCTGCTAAAGTTCTTAAACGTTTTTAATGTGTTTGACGACTGTGCGTTTATCCAGCGGTGCTGTGAGATACTGTGAGATACCATGATAAACAAAGTGTGAAATGAAATGTCAACCCTCCTTTTATTAGGTCAGAAGAGCAGTGTTTAATGAAGGACTCTCCTGATGCTCATCTCCTCTAAACTCAAACACTGACTCATACTGGGGTTTTTACTATTATTTACAGCCACAGAGTCACACCGAGCTATTTTCACAATGTTTTTAAACCCGGATCGTTTACAAGTCACCGCTTTTATTAGTTTGTAATATAATGTCCTCATATAATCTGACACTTTATGGAGTCACAACGTTTAAGGTCTCCTGCAGAGTGTTACCTTGATGGTACTGTACGGTAGTTTTTCTTGTTTTGTTTTTTTAACTGATCAGTTGTTTTTATTTTCCAAATGCAAAACCTTTTAAAAACACATTTTACTTGTTCTGATTGTTTTGCCTTTTTTTTTCATGTCACGATCAATAATGTGTTAAATCATCATCAGTACCAACTCTGAGAGAATTATTAAATAGTTTTATTAGCCATCACAAACCCTTCGGATAAAATGTTCTCGTCAATACTTCAATTACTACAAACCTTGAGTAGAGTTTTTTATATATATATATAAATGAGGAGATAATTTAATTACATCAAGATGAATTTTTCTCTCTACAACTTGGACTTAATTTAGAGCTCAGTGTTAGGAGTAGCTGGAGAATACACTGCAGCAGGTGTTTGTGAAGGTTCACAGTCTGGAGTGGTTCAGATGTTTGACCTCTTCATCTAGCAGACTTCTCACTGACTGAGTGACTGATTGACTGATGAAGACTGCTGGTAATGATGACTGAAACAAAGCAGGTGTCGACAGTCCAACCCACTGACAGGTTGTCTTCACCTGGGTCATGGTGTGGATGAGACGGTTGTTGGTTTCAGCAGACTGTATTTATCTGTCTTGGGTCCAGACGTTGAGCTTTCATGGTAGCAGTTCTAGTCCAGGGATATTTGGTTCTATGTCGGGTCGTCCTATTGGTCAAAAACTGGAAGAATAACAATTTTGCCCTAGTTTAGTTTTAAAACTTTTTTTTAATACGTTTTATTTCCTAAAGTCTCTTCTCTGTGGCGCTTTGGCCCAGAGGCAATGTCTCACCTCCTGGGCAGGTTCGAATCCCGGTTAGGGCTGTTGGTACCTTCCAGTGGACTCACCACCAGCAGGAAGGTTCAGGTTCAGGGTTGGTACGGTGCAGTGTGATTTGGGTGGTGGTCATGGAAACTGCTGTTCCCGCGACCTGATAAATGGATGAAAATGGATGGATGGAAGTCTCTTTTCTCATTTTTCCCATTTTCTCAAACCAACACAAACAATTTGCAATTTTCTGAAACGTTTCCTGATACCGGATAACTTACAGTCAGTCAGAATGATGGATTAAGGTGTAAGAAATGCCAGATGGCTAATGAAAAACTCCGAACATAAAGACAGAGTTACCAGCCAAGCACTCCTACATTCAAACATAGATCTCCTCTCTCCTGTTCTCCCGCAGAGAAATACACACACACTCGGCTTTCACATCTCCATTCCCTCCACATATTCACTTGTTGATGGGCGGTGTCTGGCTGCATTAGACCCTCTATTCCTTCATGCTCTCTCTGTCACCCCTGCCTCTCCATGCTGCCTAATGTCTCCCCTAAGGAGTGACAACTATCTGCCAGTCCTCTCCAATCCACCGGTGGATGTTAGGGCTGTCCCTTAGCTTTTTGAGAAATAGCTGCAGACACACACACACAGCCACAGTGCCAGCCTCACACAGCCACAGTCACACACTCCTGCTTCTGTTACAGTTAGCAGTTAGCCACCAGAGGGCAAACGCCCTGGCTGCAAATGAACACCATTTCAATAAATGTTGATTTATTTAGAAATCAAAGGATGAAGTTGGAGTTTTATTTTTCAGGGAAAAGAACTAATCAGAACACTACAATTAGGGAGCTGAGTCACTAAAAGTTGCACTGACAAAACAGTAGCCTTGGCATTTTACAGGTGAACAGGAATATGAGCTGCAGATAATCAGTGACTTCCAGGCCTTGAAGTCTTTGGCAAAAACTTCTTTTTACCCAATGTTGATTCATAAACAAAAATGAACAAACAAAAAAAAATCAGACCTTTGACTGTCTTTTTTGGAGTATCCTATTTCTACGAACAAACAAACAAAAAATCAGACCTTTGACTCTGTCTTTTTTGGAGTATCCTATTTCTATATTTTATGTATTTGATGTATAATTTAGAAAACAAAAACAGGTTAGAATATTTTGGTCAAACTCCAGCTTTACAAATTGAAAGCGTTTGAGGAAGTGTGTTACCTTTTCTGAAACTCTTAAGTGTAAATGAACAAATACGTTGAAAGAATCCACGGTTTATGAACAAACTGACGTGTCTGAGTTTGGCACTTGGACGTACAGTGTTCTATACTAAACTACACTTAGACTAACTAAAATTCTATGATTTTTTCATTATTTTAATAATTTGGTAGTTGACCAGAGAATGAGCAAAGGCGAGAAATAACGAATTCACTCAGAAATGTGAGCGGGAGTGGATTCAGGACCACGGACAGCGACTGTCTTCACGTTTGTCTCTCTCTCTCTCTCTCTCTGTGCCCCCCTCCCCGCAGTCTCACTCACTTTCTCTCTCTCTCTCGCCTCCCCTCTCTCTCCCACCTTCTCTTCCGGGCGCACACTCCGCTGGCAGCTGGCCGTGATACAGCTCCTCCTGCTCCTCCTTCCTCCTGTCCTTGTGTATGTGCGTGCGCGCGTGTGCGCGCGGGATCTTCTTTCTCCCACCGAACATCTTCGCTCCGACGTGAACAGTTTCAGTGAAGACGAGCACTTTTTTTTCTTTTGCGCTTCCCCAAACATCACCAACAACATCAACAACAACAACAGGCGGATAAGACGGGAGTTTCTTTGACTTCTAGCTACGAGACACACAGAGAGAGAGAGGAGTTCGTCTCTCCTTCATCACCCCTCTTTCTGCTCCTCTTTTTTTTACCCCACTCTGTCATCAACCATGGGGACTCGGGCTACCTCCCGTCCAGCGGGACCGCACTTGTTTCTGGGGTTGGGGCTGATGATAGCCGCTCTCACCCTGCAACATGCCCAGGCTGAGATAACGTGTGGCCGGTGCCCGTCGCCTGTGAAACTTCGCCTGCAAAAATTGGAGAAGGAGACGCGCGCTACAGAGCCAGACACGCGGGTGGAGTTTATCGGTGCGTCTGTGGAGGATGCTGTCAGCTCGGATGAAGATGGAACTAAAGCCGAGGGGGAGTCTGTGGGTGAGAAAGAGGACGCGGAGCTGAGGAGGACGAGAAGGAGCGCTTCGCTGGAGTTTGGCGAGTTGGGCAAGTGGAGCGGGCGCGGGCTTGCGCTTGACTCCGGGGACGCTTTGGAGGGGCACGAGCGAGTTTCGATGTTGGACGGACAGAAACAGAGGCCAGTGCCTGGCTGGAGCAGCAGGGACCCGGGCAGGGGCAGAGGGAACCCCCGGCAGGACGAGCCCCGGCTCAGCAGCAGCAGCACCTTCGCTCTAACTGGAGACTCTGCGCACAACCACGCAGTGGTTTACTGGGCAGGACAGAACAGCAGCGTGAGTACACGGCCGTCTGATCACTGACCTCTACACATTTCACCACATTTTTGCTCTTTTTTCTGCTGCGGCTGCGGCTGAACCACCGGCTCCGTTAGACAGTGTCTGTGCGCGCGGAGTTGGCTGTTAACAGGTGCGCTGGAGGCTGCTGGTGCGCACAGATGCAGCTCAATGCGCTCCGATTTACAGAGCGCGTGCGTGTGTGCGTGTGCGAGAGGGTGTGTGTGTGAGAGAGAGAGAGCGTGTGGGTGATTTATTTTTGCACGCGACCTTTTGACTCCCTCCATTACTCACCTACGTCTCTGTTTTCTGTCTCAGTATCTCCTGCGCTGGTTGGTGACACCGTGACTCCAAAAAATAAACCCCCATTTTTCTCAGTTTTAATATCGACTTATAGTCGATGCTTTTATTTATTTGGAAATTCGCTCCAGTGACTGTTTCTTCTGCTGAATGATTGTAAGACTTTCTAATCTGCTGATTTCCCTGAGAGTGAAGGAAATGTTCCCTGTTCCTCTGGGCAGCCTCTGAATTCAGGCAGAATGAATGAATTTCCTCTCTGTGTGACTTGCCTCTGGATTCCTAACACAGCTGAAGAAGACAACACAACACCTACACGAGCTGAGGATCGGGGTTTTAAGACTTTAATCCCATCACTGCTGCTCTGTCCTGTCAGGGCTGCGACTCCGCGGGGCAGGGACGCAGTGTTGCTGCGGTTCGATCTCTCCCTCCGTCTGCACCACCATCAAACAGCATGTGGTTCTCCATCGTGTGTGTGTGTGACCCTGTCAGGGTGGGAGTTTTCCACCGTGTGTGTGCATGTGTGTGTGTGACCCTGTCAGGGTGGGGTGTTAGTTTGGCTCTGTTGGGTCAGAGTGCAGGTCAGAGATGATGGGCACCAGTTCACCACAGGTGTAAATATGACCAAGATTCACTGCATCTATTTGGATCATAATGTTGCAGTTAATGTGAGCAGTGACCCGGCAGTTAGGATGGTCACCAGGTTAGAGCTGTGATAGTTATGTAAGAGAATACCCACATCTTCACTGTCAGAGCCGTGCATAGAATTTATTTTGTTCATATGCTGCTGTGAAAAAGAGGAACCATTTCCAGGACTGATTCACGCGCTCGCACGTCGTACGATCACTGTGTTTTCATGTAAAAACCCCTCACATGACATCTTTCAAGGGCTGTCGACATCTTCATGGTTCCTGTGAATAAATTACCTTTTTAATATATTATATATAAGAAAAAACATGCCTTAATAAAACGAGCGGACGTTCATCGTGACCTAGCTCACAAGTGCACCTTTCTGAGCTCCACCTGGAGATGTTTTCATCCCTGAAGGGTTCTGCCTCAGTGTCTTGTTAATACTTCATGCTGAGGTCAGACAGCATGGTTCCTGTGCTGCTCCTGTCAAATCAGTTCAACAGTCTATGTAGATTAATGCATGGACTTGACTGGCGGATGCATCTGACCCGGCCAGCCCCCGCTGTCATAACAAACCTAAGGGTGGGACGTGGACTCTGAGGGACTAGCATGTGGAGGTTAGATTCCTGGTCAAAAAATCTTTCTTACCAGCAGCCCCATGGCCAAGGGGTAAGGAGATTGACCATCGTTTTGGGTTTTACTGAAAGATCTAACAAGGCCAGTTCTTCTTCTTTAACGCTACTGACCCAGGTCCAGTTTCATCTTGTGGTTCCCTGCACAACCTGTAAACGCAAAAATCAAATCAATAGGAATTTTCCAGGCCGTGTCCTTGACTCCTTTTCATTACAAAGACAACACATTGTTTTACATCCAGCCAGCAGCTCTGTCCAGGTCATGGGACCAAAGACATGTCAGATGGAGTGACCATGGCCTTTTTTTTAAGACCCCCTCTTGGGGGCGCCACTGAAAGTTAAAAGCATGAGGTTATATGATGTGGAGCTGTTGGTAGTTGGTAGTAGACCAGGGCATGACTAGGGTGAGTCAAAAGACCTGAATTCTTAAATTCTGATTTAAGGCTTAAAACCAGTTCAGACCGGTATCACACAATGTGTGTGTATATATACAGTGTGTATATATATATATATATATACACACACACACAGCAGGACATAAATATATTGAGAGAATCCTTCTCCGAAGCTGCAGCAGTGAGAATTTGGCTGAGTCATGTCGTGGGTCATTTATTTCCTCCTGGATGGGAGCAGAGTATTTTGTTCACACTTGATCCACGGTGTTTAAATGGCTGTGTAATGGTGAGGTGTTAATGGCATCCCCGCAGCGGTGTCATCAGCCAAGGCTGGATCAAACTGACACGGCTCTCACATTCCAAGTACTGCTGCTTTCATGCCATTAATACTCCTAATTGTTTCACTTTGACAGTCACACGTCGGCACGGTGACAGGAAGCAGCAACCAGTCCTGTTTCACACATTGACTGGATAGGAATCCTGCCGTTCTCACACGCAAGGGCTCCTCACGCAGAGAGAGAGAGAGAGAGAGAGAATAATGTGACAAAATAAATCAAAGTGCGTAAAAGCTCAGAGGGAGCCGACGGCCTTCTCCTCTGCGCTTTTACAAGTGTGATTTGTTGTTGTGCTCGCTCTGCTCACTTTTACATTCTGTTTGATAAAAGAAAGAAAAAAAATCCCACATATTCTGCCTTGTCTGAGCAGATTGTGACACGGTGCATGAACATGGGTTTCTAACCTGCAGTGATGACCGAGGCGCTGCGACTGTGCCACAGTCTGAGTGTGCTGAGCATGGGAGGGTGATGGGGGGGAGGGGGGACTGAGGGGGAGATTGTGCACCACAAGCCCTCGGTCTAAATCTTTGATAATTATCTTGACAACTGGGGCTTTTATTTCAAAGTCTTCTCTTTTTTTCTGGCTTAAAAAAATTGAAAGCTGAGAGAGCAGGCGTAGCCCAGAGAGAACTCTCCAGAGAGCTCGGCTTTTAATCTTCATTGGCCGTCCGAGCCGCTGGTGATGAATGGGCTCGTAGGCTGAACCAATTGAGCTTGGACTCTGCCGACGTTACTGCAGCAGTGGTTACATGAGAGACGGACAGAGTGATTGGTTAATAGCTATGACTAGCTGATTGAATGAGTGACCAGCTGACCTCTGCGTTGACACGTCGCTGACTGAATTCTTATTCACTCTCATCCACTGGTAGATAAAGTTTGTCGAATGTTATCAGCACCGGTCTTTTCTCAGTGACCTGCCACAGCAGTGTGTGCAGCCATGTGATGTCGGCCACTAATTGTGCTGCCTGTCCACGTACAGTACTTGTACAGGCCTTGTCTCCAGGCGCTGTCCAGTGTGTCACTGCTGGGTTGTGAACTCAGCTGTTCTACAGCTCTCCAGGGTTTCAAACTTAAACATCCTGTTTTTCCCAGTTGACAAGTCTTTATTGACTGTCGTATTAAATTTGTTTGCTTGTTTTTTGTTTTTTTTTTCATATGGTCTAATCTTCCCTTTCTTCAATGCAGTATATATTCTTGGTGAACTGATAAACAAAAAATAAAACATGTTTAGTTTGAGTTATTCTCAAATGTAGGTTCGTGTAACTCTGCATGTAAATGGAGGCACTTTTAATTAGTCCAATAAAATTAGAAACAAAATAACCTTATCCTCAGAAAGGTGTTCATGGCAATGTACTTAAACTAGATAACTTACGTGAGCTGAACTGGATTGATCAGTTCCAGGTACAATGAGAAAAAAGAATAACTCTGCTGCTGCCGTAAAACAGAGGAACTACTATTTTCTTCCTATTTTTTGACCATTAAAAACTCTGTTCTGTTCTTTGGACGTACAGTAAGCCCGGAATGTACGACTGGTCCCGAGTGTTCAAAATGTGGTACTTGTTGCGGTGTAGTGTGAACGTCTGATGAAGTAGTAGTAGTCTGAGCAGGTAGTATTACTCAGACTTTAAGGATTTTACTGCAGTAATGCTCACCACCCTGATTTTTTAGGTTCCTGAAAATGTGTTTTTCATGGCAATGATCTGCAGGACGTGCCTCACTGCTTGGATGGTTGGTCATCATGTGCCCTGTTCCACTGACCTTTAGGCAGAGAACTGAGGCCCGATCTGCTCAACCAGTGGAATTTGGTTGCTGTCTGCCTGGCTGACCTCTATGTCCACACAAAATCCCTGCTCTCCTTGGTCCAGAGACTTTCTCGGTCTTATTTCCGCCAGATATTTCGACTCTTCGTCTTGTGCCGCTGCTATCTGAGGCAGAGATCCTGACGATGCTGGGGGCTCCCTGGGGGAGGGAGAGGAGTACTGTGTGTGCTGTGAGCCGTGTACACAAGGCTAAATACACTCTCTGTACTCCCTCCCTGTACCACTCCTGTTGACTCTTTCTGATTCTGCTCAGCTTACCTTTCTATTTGTTTGTTTCTGATTTGTTTTTAAAAATGTCAATACGTACTTTCAGCACTGAGCTTCCTGTCATTTTTTTACCCTATTAAATTATATGAGCTTATTTTACCATAAGACCATAGGTTTAACACTCCAAAAAGATATGTAATATCTTATATTCAGTATCATCATAACCTATGAAGTACAAATTTACCAAAACCAAAAGCCTGACAAAGTCAAGTTTGACAAATACGACCACTTTTAAACAGTCTTTAAAAGCAGATTGAGCTGCTTCGCCAGGAGGACCGCAATGCCCTCCACCAGTGATACATCACATTGTGGACCACAGCTTGAGAACCCTTTTTGAAATTGAAAGAATGTTTTCAGAAAAATGTGCATTATAACTGTCAGCGTGTTCGGTGGATATCAAAGGAGAGCGGCCCTTTAAAATTGTGCGGCTCACACAGAGGCAGAGCAGCCGTGGCTGGCACAGCATCAATGGAGCGGGCTGGGCCTGTTTGAAGTTCTCACATCTCTCCTGTGAACTGAAGCCACTCCTGCAGACCCTGGTGGGCATCCTTTAAAAAACAAAAACGTCACAGAGTGGAGATGTAGACTGGTGCACAGCCAACAGGAATAACTCAATACTGTGTG